ATCGTGTTTCTACATTATCTTTTTTTTTAAACTTTCTCCATGTCTCCCTCCAGTTCTTTGACCATGTGTAGGAAAGCTGCTTCTATCTTTATCCGGGAGATGTATCATCATGTTTTCTCAGGAAAGGTTTCTGTTGTTGTTGTTTCCTTTGAGTGGGCCACAATGCCCTCTGTTTTTCTGCATGTATTATTGCACATCAGTTGGAAACAGACATATAATATAGTGGTAGCAACTCTGGAAGGCAGGTTCTCTCCCCTTCTCAAAGTTGGCTGTTCTTTCTTGCTGCTATTGACTGTTTTGGGGTTTTTTGATAGTTGTGGGCTACCTCTGTGCCAAGAACTATGGGGTAAATTTAAGGTTTTGTCACTTCTTTTCTAAGTGAGCACCTTTCCCTGGGCACACACTGTCTTTACAATTTTCCCATATACTGTTTCTTTTGAATATCCTAATCCTTAATATTCAGATCCCAAAAGGCAAAAAAAAAGAGAGAGAGAAAAAAAACTTGGGAAAGAGGGTTGTGAAGATGGAAGGAAGTGTGACCACATGGGCATAGCCTCTTGGTCTGATCCTGTGTCAGAACACAGGCTGCTGCTTTCTGGAGGACAGTACCCTTTTTGCCCACTCAGGCTCCCACAGGCTGAGTGTAGGCTGCTCCAGCAACACATGGACCAGGGCTTTGCTACAAGATAAAACTGACTTCAACTTCGGTTACTATTCCACCCCACACTCCTGCCATGAAGTGCCACCACAGACTTAACCTGCAAACCTTTCACAAACTTGAGTTTCAAAACAGCTACAGCAGCCAGGAATTGTGGTTCACACCTGTAATCCCAGTAACTTGGGAGGCTGAGGCAGGAGGATTTCAAGTTCAAGGCCAGCCTCAGCAACTTAGCAAGGCCCTAAGCAACTTAGCAAGACCTTGTCTTAAAATTAAAACTTTACAAAAGGGCTGGAATGTGGCTCAGTGGTTGAGAGCCCCTGGGTTCAATCACCAGGACAAAAACACACACACACACAACCACCTACAGTAGACAGACTGTACCAGGGCAGCTGTGGTCCAGAGGAGAGTTGGTTCTGCTTTATCCTGCTCCACCATCATTCCAGAACCCTCTGAAATAGGTTTTTAATCATACAACTCTGCAGTTGAAAAGTAAACAGAAAGAGCTGCTGAGAAAGGTGCTAATCAGTTTTTGTCAAATAACCAATATCCACCTAAGGCCAAATTCTGGATGTCCAAGAGCTGAGCAGTGTGGTGCCCACCAAGGCTGTGGTTCGCTGAAGGTGATTTAACACTATGATGAGCACTGGGTCATCCATGTCTGACAATGAAGAATGGAGGGGTGAGGTACAAGTCCTGTGGAGCCTCAGCCACCCAAGCCAGGCACAGCTGCCTACAGAGCTTGGCCGTGACTCCAACCATAAAGTGCACATCCACCCTGTTTGTGGTGAGCTCACTATTTAGCAAGAGGGAAAAGAACACAGCCTCCTCTGACCACCACCACAGCAATGCCAAGACTAGTGAAGAGGTAATGTAAAATTTTAAGGCTGACCAAGACACTCCAATGCTGGCTCTACACATGCCCACAGGAGGCAACACTGAGAACGGCAAGGTCTGAAGGCGGAACAGTGCTGAATTGTGCTGTTCCTGGCATACATAGACACTGCTGCAAAAGGCCTATACCTGTTACCACCATATCAACAGTGGCCTCCACGTCCCCTCCATCCAGGACACCTGGTAGGGACAATGACACTTGCCAGAAGACTGTGGTGCTGCCCTCCAGGCAGGCCTCCTGCTCTCAGCAATGCTAGAGGTGTGTTAGTAGCTGAAGTGAGACGGGACCCAAACAGGGCACACTCCTCTCTGGGAAACTCTTTCTGGCCCGGGGAGATGAGGTAAGCCTTGAGGCGACACAGAAGATAGCTGGGGCTGGGGGCACACCTATTACCTGGGAAGCAGAGAAGTCAACCAACTGTCAGAACATACTGTACCTACAGTTGGAGGTGATTTCACATGCTTAGCCCAAAATTAATATGCTAATTAACCAAACTTCATGGAAATATATGGAAGATAAACTAGAGAACTGATGAACACATTGAGCATTTCACTTTAGAAAGATGATGAAATAAGAAGCTTAAATTAAAGGAAAAAAAAAGCATTAGCATGTGAACAGCAATACTGACTGCTGTGACATTCCTTGCCAGTCCACAACCACATGAGAGAAGCAGATGCTACAGAGCTTTGTGAATACCAGGTAAGCTGCCCGAAACAAGCAGCGCTGAAGGCACAGAGCCATGAAGCTAGGCAATAGGGGCCAAGACTGATTCTGCTTCCTAATTGCCATGTCCCCACAGGAAGATCCAGAGCTCCCTATGGAGGCTGCCGGTTCCAGCCTGGGAAGAAGAGGGCCAGATGCACCTGAGCCATCCCTACCAGCCAGAAGGTTTTCAGAGAGTGATGGGCCACATCCGAGGATCCGGAATCCAGCTGAAGGACCCCGCTGACAAAACCTGAGATGATTGGAGCAGAAAAACAAGGACAGTAATATACTACAACCCAAAGATCCAAATGAGAGTTTATGAGGTGCTACAGTTTGGATCCTAAACGTCCTCCAAGATTCACGTGTTAAAGGCTTAGAACCCAGAGTGGTGCTACCAAGAGGTGGTAGGGCCTTTACGAGGTGGGACCTACTGGGAGCATCAGTGCAGCAAGTGTGTCCACAAAGGGGAGCAAGGGACTAGTCCCTTCTCACTTCCTGAGATGAGGTGACTGGTTCTGTTCCACCACATGCTCTGACAGTGTGCTACCCCAAGCTAAAAGCAATGGGGCCAACCAATCACAGACCAAACCTTTGAAACTTTTCTCTTTACAAGTTGATAAAATCTCAGTTATTTGTTATAACAACAGAAATCTGACACACGAGTCAAAAGTTAAAAATAGATGGGTATCAGGTAGGGGACTAGGGCTGTTGCTCAGCCGTAGAGCACCTGCCTAGCATGTGTGAGGCATTGGGTTCAATCCTTAGCACCACATAAAAAGAAACAAATAAAGGCATCCTGTCCATCTACAACTACAAAAATAACTTAATAAGCGGCTGGGATTGTGGCTCACCAATAGAACATTTGCCTAGCACATGCGAGGCGCTAGGTTCGATCCTCAACACCACATAAAAATAAATAAGTAAAGGTATTGTGTCCATCTACAACTAAAAAAAAAAAATACATATTAAAAAAATAACTTCATAAAAAAATAAATGGGTGGGAAGTGAATCTTCCTTTCAGTATAAATGCAACTGAAAGGCAGTGATGGAGACAGAAAACCACCATGTGGACCCTGCCCTACAGCACTTTCTGGTGGGCTGTGATAAGGAACAGGACACCTGCAGAACCTCAGACTCTTCCTGAAGATACATGCTAGGGACAACCTTTATAATGGAGCAACATGTAAGACCCTGCCATGCCCTAATAAGTCAAAAGGCCACCAAAACACAATTCCTAATGATATAGGTCAGTCACCTGTGGTGTCCCAAGACCTATACCTGGTCCTGAGGCACAGTGAAAAGCAATCTAAGAGAGGTTCTATGGAGAGCCTGGCCTGTATTCTCAAGATGCCACAGTCAAAAATGACCAGGAATGCTTCAAACTAATAGGAAACTAACAAGAAACAACAGAGACAAGTGACTGTGGGATCCAGGATCAGATGTGTTTTTCTTTGGCCATAAGGGACATTACTAAGAAATCAGTAAAGTTAGCAATGTGCTACGATTAGGTGACTGTCACAGACCTGGTGTTGATCACTGCACTGTAAGAAGCTAGAAAACATCCTTATTTCCAGAGACACAATGCATTATTTTTAGGAAAAACACTTAACTATTTAGAGGTAAAAGGGCATTTATTTGTAGCACAGTTCATGTTGCACAAAATGATTATGTACTGGGAAGAGGAGCAAAATTGTGTCTTTTGGTAAAGGGAGTGACGGGAACATGGGAATTGTTTGAACAATTTATGCGACATTTGTGGTAGTCTAAAATTATTTTAATTTGAATTTTAAAAGTCATATCCTGGTGCTAGGGTTGGGGCTCAGAGGTAGAGCACTCGCCTAGCATGTATGAGGTACTGAATTTGATCCTCGACACCACATAAAAATAAAATAAAGATATTGTGCCTACCTATAACTAAAAAGTAAATGTTTAAAACAAAAAAAAGTCATATTCTGGTGCCAGGGTTATGGCTCAATGGTAGATCTCTTGCCTATCACACGTGAGACACTGTATTCAATCCTCAGCACCACATAAAACAAACAAATGAATGAATGAATAAATAAATAAATAAAACAAAGGTATTGTGTTCATTTACAACTTAAAAAAAGTCATAACCTGTGGCCAGGTGAGATTCCCCAGGTAAAGCCCTAAGGCCAATAGTCTCAGCACCAGGCCAACCAGGTTCAACTTTCAGGAAGGCTGGCTGGCAGGCCCTTTTCAAATTCAAACTCATGGCTGGCCTGTGCCACAGGGAGCCTTCCATCTCCTCAGGGAGGGCACTCCACACACATGCAGTGGCAGCTCCCTATGAGGCCACATGCTGCCAACTCCTACAAAAGAACCCCAACAATAATCAAGTGTCCGTCCACTCAACCAACAAGGAGAGGCATGAGCACCAGGGGGCTGAGGAGAAGTACCCAGGGGCAAGTAACTTGGCTGGTGACACAGCCAGAGCAAAAGACAACTCTTCACACTTTGGCCACACTTAGTGCTTCCAACAGCATCCAACACAGGACCAGGAGTGCTCTCAACCCCAGAGTCCTCCACCCAGACCAAGTCAGTTTTAATACAATATTCACGTCAGATCAGAGGCAAAGCAGGTGGCAGCAAGAAAGGCTTTAAGGCAGGCACTGCCTCTCCACTGCGCAGGCCAGTGCTCAGTGACACCAGCCACACTGCACCTGGAAGGCAGAAGCTCAAGACATACATTCAGAAAGAAACACAGCTGGTGGACCCTTTTACCTGTCTGTGACTTTGTGGTGGCCATGTAGCACTGGCTCTGAGGTAGTGACGGGTGAAGGGATGGGAAGGGGGGTAAAAGCTGCTGTCGTCCACAGTCAGAAACGTTTCTGTTGATCTCCTCTTTTGGTTCCTTATGGTCTCTAGCTTCTCGAACATCCCTGGGATCCTTGCTGGCTGCATGCTTCAAAACAAAGACAATTAATAACTATGACAACAAGCCAAAAGATGATTGCTGAAATAACATGCACCCAAAAATTACAGCTCTTTTCCCCAGTAATTCCCCTCAAGTGAGAGATGAGCCACTATGGGGAAACAGAAAATCTACAAATCCATGCAACCTGGACATCATCAAAGAAGCACCTGGAGCTAGGACATGTATGCCTAGGCATCTGCTGGATGACGAAGGTCAGGCTACCAGCCACCACACAAACTAAGAACAGTATTTCCAGGTATAATGGTAAGGAGGATCACGAGGAAGGAGGGGCAGAGGGAGAGGGAAAAAGAAGCATCTGCAGTGACTGTGTGGCTGTAGAACCTCAAATATCATCTTATCTGCTATTTGTAGAAAAAGTCTGCCAGCCCCTGATTTAGGCAATCAGTATGACTAAGCTAAAAACACCCAAAATGGAAGCACCGAAACCTCTCTAGGAGTGCCTCCACAGCTGCCACAATTAGACCTGCAAGATCTCCAAACAGCATGGATTCCACAACAGCTAGCTGCACTTGAATCTGTCTTTAGCCTTAGCCTTCCAAAGCACCAGCAGCCTGTAGGCAGCTATGCTGACACCATAACCACCTCACGATGGATGGATAGCCTGCCTTTATTCCACACAGCCTAGACTCCAGTGAACCTCCATCTATCTGCTTCCATATATTCACAGATAACCTCGAGAGGTTGACCTCAAAACACCTCAAGCTGACAAAATCTTATTGTGCACACAGTAGTTTCCATAAATAATAAGTAGAACAGACAGGTTTCCTCTGATACATAATCCTGAGAAAACTGGAAATCCACACGCAGAAGCAAGAAGGCGGGCCCTGTCTCACCTGCATATAAAGACTATCCCAGGACAGCAGGGCCTGAAGGCGAGACCTGAAACTTCCTTCTGAGTTCACTGAGAAGGAAACAACAGGGACAACTTCAAAGCGTGGGATCTCGCAGTGACTTCTTGGATATGACGCCAAAAGCACTGGCAGCATGAGAACTAGACAAGTTGCACTTTGTACGAATTTAAAAAGTTCCACGTGTCAAAAGGTAACTGCCTATGTACTGATTTGATTCCTTACTCCTAACAGTAAAAGGCCATTCCACAGAACAGGATGAAACATCTGGAACCTTATGTGTGACAAGGACTACTCTCCAGATGGTAAAAAGAAGCCCTGCAACTCCCTGGCAACAAAAGAGCAGAAAACCTGACTCAAAAATGGGCAAGGGACTTGAGCAGAAGTCTCTTCAAGGAGATGTGCAGACGGCCAATAGGCAGAAAGAGATGCCCAACGTGACTACTCATGAGGGAAATGAAAACCAAGACTACCATGAGATGCCACCTCCACCCACCAGGACGGCTCCCATCCAGGCAAGACACCAGAAGAGCGTGTGTTGGAGAGCGTGTGCACTGTTGCTGGGAGTGAAAAGCCACACAGCCGCTGAGGGAAAACTAAATGTTGAATCACCACATGATCCAGCAGTTCCACTCTGGATATACCCCGAGGAACTGAAGACAGGGTCTTCAGTGTGTCACAGCATTATCACCAGAGCCAAACGGTGGAAGCAGCCAGAGCACCGGCGCCCTTTGGTGGGTGAAGGGAGCAGCAGAGTGTGGCCCGTCCACAGGGGTGGAACACTGCTCAGCTTCACAAAGGAAGGGTGCTCTGCAGCGCGAACTGAGGCCATCAGGCACCAGAGCACAAGTACTCTGGTGACTCCACTCCCCTGACGTCCCTTACCCGGAGTAGCTGAAATCACAGAAAGTAGAATGGGGGGTGCTGGTGGCTGGGGAGGGGAGGGGGGAATATGCATTGTTTGGGACACACTGTAAAGAGTGGATGGTGGTGAAGGCTGTGCAGAAGTGTGAGCAAGCTTAGTGCCACCAGGTTGCTCACTCAGAGATGGTCAATGTTGTGTGTTTTCACCCTCTCCCATAAAAGACAAAGCATCCCCATCTCCTGGCAATGAGACCAGGGAGAAGTGGCCCAAGTCAGAAATTACTGTAATTCGAGGCACTTGATGAGTGCTGTGCTCCACACTCATGGGTTTAAGTGAGGACATGCTTCATGAGGTCACAAGTGTGGCTGGCTGGCAGGCAGGCAGGCAGTCAGGTAGGTAGGCAAAGAGGGGAGTTCCAGACAGCAAACTGTACATCTCACCAGTGAAAGATGAGTGCTAAGCAGGGCAGGGGTGCTGTGTGTTCTCTGCCCTCTCACCCAGGCTCTGCAGCTCTACCTCAAACCCTCTCTCACCACATCTCAAGTGCACTTTGCTTTCTGTTTCACATGTGCTGCTATCTTGTACTCTTAGCCTCTCTCACGCGCCCTGCTGTTGGCAAGGCACCTAGAAAGCTTCTCAAAGAGAGCACTTCTTTCCTCAGCCCACAAGAAAGCTGCCTGATACCTCACCCAATGTCCAGAATACACAAGTCACATTACTTGATCTCAGTGCTTATCTAGCTAGGAACCTGCTATGGCCTGAATGTGTCCCCCAAAGGCCCCAAGTTGGAAACTGAATCCCCAAATTCACGTTAATGGTAACTGGAGGTGGGGTCTCCAGAAGGTTATTAGGATGGGATGAGGTCAGGCGAGGGCCCCTGTGGTAGAGGAAGAGACCTGCGAGGGCCCCTGTGGTAGAGGAAGAGACCTGAGTTGGCAGGCTTGCTCTGCCTCACTATGTTATGATTCAGCAAGAAGCCCTTACCAGATGCTGGCACCATGCTCTCACACTTCCCAGCCTCTAGACCAAGAGCTGAACAATCCTCTGCCCTTTACAAACCACCCCATGTGTGGTATCCTGTGACAAAAAAGAAAGTCCACCCAGACAGAAACTTACACTGGACTCAGGTTGTGAGAACCACAGCTCTATACAGCTTCCTGTTGCTTCCCCTGGTGGAGACCAACCCAGTTCACCATCTCGAGTGCTGCACTGCCAGTGATAGCACCTGCTCCACAGCAGATGGCACCTATACCCTTCCTTTCCCCAGGGATTAACTCTCCCTTCCCTCCTCCAAATCACAGTTCAAACTTGGCAGTTCCTTCTGCAGCCTCCACCATTTAACCCACCACAGTATTGTCTAAGCCCTTCTCAGATGCATCAGGCAGTAACCACTAGGGCTCAGAACCTAGCTCTTGCTGTCACCTACACACTGCCACGCAGCCTGTGCAGCATTCAGCTATAAAATTCATCCACTCAGCACTCAGAGCACAGTAAGATCCTAACTTACACATAAAATAAGACCTTAAGAGGAGACAGCCACATGAGGCTAATTCTCACTTTGGTATAAAAACCTATTCTTTCATTTCAGAAGTAATTTTCAAAAATCTAACAAAGAAAATTGAGAATTCCTGAGCCTGGTGGGGAATCAGATTCTGCTCGCAGTTGCAGTCTCACAAGGTAGAACCATGAGAGAAGAAATGACCTGCTGCACCAGGAGGCAGGGCACATGGGCTATGTCCTTGCAGAGCCCAGCACACCCTGTACTCTCTGCTCCAACTCTGCCACAGGCTTTCCCCTCCTGGCCTGTTACTGTTCAAGTTTCTGTCCCAGCCAGTGAATTCTCACAGCTGGATATTTCATTGCAACTTCAACTCAACACTAATTTGCACCATTAATAAGAACTTCCCCTAGTACAGTGGCAGAATGGATGGGGCCACTTCCCACCCCACACCTAGAGCCCAATGGTAGGCATGTGTGGAAGGAGTGGAGTGTGGAAGCACAAAGCCAGAGGAGAAAGCTAAAAGCATGCCACAGTAATGCCTCCTGGTATGTGCATAGTTCAATTAGGAGAGAAATCCTCAAGATCTAGACTAGGCAAAGAGTTCTTAGACATCAGAATGACATCGTGATGCTTGACATCAGAAGCGCAGTCCAGGAAAGCAAACTAATAAATTGGACTACATCTAAATGAAAAGCTTTTGCTCTGAGAAAGATCCTTCGAGAGGAAGAAGATAAGCTTCAGATGGGGAAACTAACCTACAAAAATGACACCTCAGATAAGGATCCATACTCAGGAAAAAACCTCAAAGCTAACCAAACAATACTAAAAAAATGGGGGGGCAGTGCAAATGGTGCAAGAGACATTTCAACAGCAATGACAAGAGCTGACAAGTGAGCACTGAGTAGATGTCCCACATTACAGGCATGAGGATGTTTGAGTAAAACAAGGACAATATGCCACCACACCCCATCAGGTAACCAAAACAGTAGCCACGCAAAACCAAATGTTGGTGAGGATGTAAGAAACAGGATGAGTCCCATGAGGTAGGGGTACAAACTGCAGCCACTAGGGAACAGGGATGGCTTATAAGTTCTTTATAAAACTGAACATCCAAGGGACTGGGGGTGTAGCTCAGTGGCAGAGCACTTGCCTAGCATATGCAAGGCCTTGGGTTCAATTCCTGGCACCAAAGAGAGAAAACCAAAATGAATATCCAATCAACAAGCAACACAGCAATTCCTGGATACTGAACTGAGAAACATGAAAATGTATATGCAAACAAAAACACGTACATAAATGCTCAGGGCAGCTTTAAGAGCACCAAACTGGAAATGTCCAAGTCCTTCAACAGTGAGTGGCCAGTCTGCAGCTATCCACACCACGGACAGCTGGGCAGCCTAAGGAGGAGCAGGCTCCTGATGCAACCTGGAGAATCTCAGGAAAATTATGTTGAGTGCAAAGAGCCCCCCAAAAGTTATACATTGTATGGGGCTGGGGTTGTGGCTCAGTGGCACAGCGTTCATCTAGCACATGTGAGGCCCTGTGTTCAATCCACAGCACCACATACAAATAAATACAATAAAGGTATTGTGTCCAACTACAACTAAAAAATAAATAAATTTTTAAAAAGTCATACACTGCACATATTGAACAACACCTGAAATAACAGAATTACAGAAATGGAGAATGATCTAGAGAGTGCCAGGGATCAGGGACCTTGACTGTGATGGCTATGCCCCTCTGCGCGCGCGTGCACACACACACACACACACACACACACACACACACACACACACACATCCAAGTTATGGTGAAATTGAGTAAGACCCATGGATCACACCAGTGTCGGTACCCCAGTTACAACACTGCATTCCAACATGTAAGATGTTATCACTGAGGAAAATTGGGCAAAGGGTACATAGCACATTTCTATACTATTTTTGTTGCTTCCTGTGAATCAAACTATTTTTTAAATTTTTCAAGTTCTGACAATGTACAGAAGAGAACAGTGAAAGGCTAGAGCTAAGTCAGGCCAATGGGAAATGGGGAGCCCCTGGGCCAGGGCAACTGGTGGGTATTGCATCAGGGCATCAGGAGGCACCAGCACACTGCTAACAGAGGGGAGAACCTGGTGGTTACAGAACCCAGCTTCAGGTGTGTGGTTGGCAGTGAAGCTCCACACTGTCCCATGGCCACCACAACCACAGACCCATGCAGTACTCAGTCAGGCTGGTCCAAGGCCACAGAAGCCAAGGCAAGCATACCCTGGGGAGAGAAATCAGCACTGGAGAAGATCACCAAGAGCAAGAGCTACCACCCAACAGAGCTCCTCTGAAGAATCAGAATTCATGACAGAAACTATGGAAAAATCACAATGATATCTTCTGAAGGATAAGACAAAATTTGAGACATAAGAAATTTTTTAATTAACGATTAGTCAGAATTATTGGGTATGAAAAAAATGTCAAAATAAAGCACACAGAGTTGGGGACAGTGACACATGCCTGCAATACCAGTGGCTCTGAAGGCTGAGGCTGAGGCTGAGGCTGAGGCAGGGAGATTTCGAGTTGAAAGCCAGCCTCAGCAATTTAACGAGGCACTAAGCAACTCAGTGAGACCCTGTCTCTTAAATTAAAAAAATAAAAAAAACAGGCTGGGGATGTGGCTCAGTGGTTAAGTGCACCTGAGTTTATTCCCCTGTACCAAACACACACACACACACACACACACACACACACATACACACACACACACACACACGTATAAAATGAACAGAAGAATGTAAAAGGTTAAAGAACAATGCTAGAAGCAGAAAGCAGGCAGGGCACTGTCCAAATAGAAAAAAGACCCAACCTCCACCTAAAAGGAGTTCTATGGAAGGAGATGGAAAGAAAATCATACATGCGTTTTCCTGGTGCTGATGACACAATTCCTCAGACTGGCAGGGCCCTCAAGAGAAGGTCCCAGATGTGGAGTCCTAAGGGCTGCAGAAGAAACAGCAGATGGTCTACTCATGAAGGACAAGACAGTTTCAGAATGCCACCAGCAATGCCAAATACCAGAAGTTCTGAGGGAATGTGACCATAAACCCAAAATCTATTGGAGCCAAATTAACATCAAACCACAGCACTGTAGATATTTGGAAGAAATTTATCAGGCACACACCATGTGAGACTGGTGGTAAGCAAAAGGCCAGCATGGTAGGGGTCAAACTTGGGTACATATTGCCCGTGTTCAGACACTCAAGATGTAAGACTTGTCTGCTCTCAAGGCAAGCATGAGCCGGCACACCTCAACACAGCCCTCTGTGCCCACACTTCTGTCATACCATGGTCCTGACCAACTTCACTTCCTCTCACTTCTCAAACAGTGGGTGCTGAGTCCTCCTGAGCTGGAATGAAAGCCTCCAGATCCACAGAAGAAGGGAAAACCGTCTCCTTCAAAATGCCTGGCACATCTTCACTCGAAGCCAAGAGAACCCTCTAGGGAGAACAAATCCCCAAAAGAAGGCAGAGACAGTGCCATCTGGCCTTGCTGTTCATGCACCGAGGCATCAGCCAAACCCCTAACTGATCACAGGCCTAGAAGTGACCACCTCATCAGATTACCACTTCTTTACACTTTATTTAACTTTAGTGGCCTAAAGTTAGTGCCAGATGACCATTGCCATCTGCTGGCTTTTCTCTTGAATGCAGAGAAGTTGGCTTGCCATCATTAACATAGGAGAAGACAGACAGAAGGGAAATGGCAAGAGAAGACACAAAATTACCAGGCCCAGGATGGACTTCGGCATGGTCTTGCGTGCCCTGTGAACCTTAACATCAGTTCCAGGGGCCGTGGGCTTCCTGTCTTCTGTGTCTGCACTTCCTTCCCCAGGCACGGCTGGCGCTGCAGCTGGTGTCTGTGGAAATGCACCTAGAGTCCTGCCTTTGCCAGCCGCTCCAGGAAGGGTTTTCGCAGCATGGCCAGGAAGCGAGGAGGCCAGAGTGTTGGGAGTCCTCAAGGGCTGCCCCTGCAGGGCCGATTTATTTAAGAAGTACCCATTGCTGCCAATGACAGAAGTCTGCATGAAGTCGTCAGCTGTGACGTGGTTCTGCTTCCCCACTTCTGGTTCTCTTTCTGAAACCCCATTTTCCGCTATTCGTGCTGCTCTATTGGTACCTTCCTGTGGGCTGGCTCTTGTGCTCTCTTGAGTGTGTCTGGCTGCATTTGGGTGACTGGTGTCACAGTTGTCACAAGATCCATTGGTTTCACCATCTGCAGCCATGGAGGCCTCTCCCGCCTGCTTCTCTACGGAACCTTCATCAGCAGCCATAGGAATATCTGTGAACAGAGGAGAAAGGAGCATCACTGACTGCTGGGACCCCACCCCCACACACGCAATACCACCACCAGCACTAGTTACAATGCTTCTGACTGGCTGACATAAAACTATCCACTGAAATCCTTTCATTTCACCTACAAACTAACACTTAAATTCAAATGGATTTAAAATGAGATTGCTTCCTGAACAGGATATCAAGTAAGTGTGAGGAATCACCACGGCAAGAAAACCTGAGTATTGTCTGGAGGTATCAACGAGGTTCCAAAAGCAGCTGTACACAAACAAGCAAAAAAACAGGCCCAAGGAAGGATGGCTTTCAGAACGCCCATCTGTGTACCCTGCGGATGCGGGGGGTAGGGTGGGGGGTCTGACAGTTCTAGCAGTCACAACCAGGATGCTTAGAAACAAGAAACGCACTCACACCAGAAAACTGAAGAATACTATGAGTTGAGGCAGAAAACTCATGATGACATCCCTGGAGGCAGGAAAAGCCTGGGCCAAGGTCTAGGCTCTATCTAGGCCACTCTGCTCTTGGCTGGACTCTTCTTCACACCTACCACTTAACATGCTGCATTCTCCACTGCTCAACATGTTGGTCATCTTCCTTGCACCCCTAAGTTCTATGAGAGCAAAGGTTCTGTTCACTACTGTAACCTGGGCACATAAAAAGGGCCTGGCACATGATACATGTGCAACAAATAACAAATGGTTTCTGAAAAACAAAGCGCAATTAATAAGTTTTTTTTAACACACAGCAAAATAGAACATGTAGAAATTTCCTTAACTTGGAGAAGACTATATCCCAAACTCTGCAGCAATATATCTTCACTCAGAAAGGTTAAATCAATTCCATGTAAGCCCAGAAACAACATACAAACATCTATTAAAACCACTAGTGCTAAACAAAACAGGTGGTATTGGGTGACACTGAAAGAGAAGAAAGAAAAGCGTGAAGGTTAGTGACCAAGGCACAAATGCTCTCATCAGCACCTAACATGCTCTCATCTACTGAAAAACAGAATCCACCTGTGATCAAAACACATGAACAAAGCCATACAGCTGAATTCAAAATCAAGTCGTAGGGCTGGGGATATAACTCCATAGAAGAACAACTGTCTAGCAAGCACAAAGCCCTGCCTTCCATCCCAAAATTGCAAAACAAATCAACTTACAAACTCAAAACCACTCTATTTTATTTTAACTTTTTAGTTGTAGATGGACACAATATCTTTGGTTTTTGTTTATTTATTTTTTTATGTGGTGCTGAGGATCAAACTCAATGCCTCACACATGTGAGGCGAACGCTCAGCCACTGAGTCACAGCCCCTGCCACTCAAAGCCACTCTCTACATGAACATTAACTAGAAAATACAAGTTAAAAACTAAGATGTTATTAACAAAAGCAGGAAAAACTACACAGGTATAAAAAAAATGACAAGATTATTTAAGACCTAGGTGCACATTGGAATGGTATGACAAATTCACACAAATCTGTCAAGTCCCCTCAAATCAAATTTATAAATGTGTGCCATTCTAATAAGACTTCCAGTTAGTACATTGAGGAATTCTACGCCTGACCCTGAAATACATCAGGAAAAAACAGGTGGTACTGGGTGACACTGAAAAAGAAGAAAGAGCTAAGTTCACTGTGAAGAGGAGAATAAGGAGAGCCACACATAACTCCTGCTACAGAGGAAGAGCACACAGTCGTGCAGATCCCCCAGCAAAGGCAGTGCAGAGCATGACCCACAGCCCAGGCAGCCGAGGCTGGTTGCTGAGGACCAAGGCACCTCCCCAGACACGGGTGCCTAGTCTCAAGGCTGGAGTCCCCACCTGCAGGTCCCAGCAACCCTGTGCAGCCCTTCTGCTTGTGAAATGTGGACATACTGTCCTTGACACTCTGAGGAAAACACAGAAAAATGGAATAGCCTATAGTCAGGGGAAATTTATAAAACATCAAAAGCATGAATAATGACAAGAAAAAGATCTGACTATATTGGAATTTCAGATTTTTGTTCTACAAGGAACATAAGTAGGCAAGGTTAAGAAATGTCTAAAACTAACAAGGGGTTAATATCTAGATGATAAGTAACTGATTTAATCAAGCAAGAAGAGACAGAAACCCTAACAAGAAGGGGGGAAATAATGTAAACAGGAAATACACCAAAAAGGAAATTTGGGGGCTAGGGATATAGTTCAAATTTGGGGGCTAGGGATATAGTTCAAATGGTAGCCTCGCATGCACAAGGCCCTGGGTTCAATCCAGCACCACAAAAAAATAAATAAAAATAAAAAATAAAAATGTTCACTGCATGGCTTAATACACAAATTCAAAGGCAGCAGATGGTTCAAGTGGACAAGAAGCTGCATAGTGAGCAATATCCCCACAACTTACATTAAATAAAATAGGAAGCGCAGATTAAAGAAATGGGATGGGAAAGGCATGCAAAAGTAAATTTGTAAAAGGTTGGAGTGGCTATTTTAATATCAAAGCAAGGAAGTCTAACAAGGTACACAATACCATTCCATGGAGACAACAAAAGAACTTCAAAGTGCAAGAACTGAACACTGCTAGGACTGCTAGGGGAACCGATTCCACAGCTGAGGTCATAGATTCCCACAGCCCAGAGTCTCCTCAGCAAGGTTCAGAAGGCTGATCTGCCAGTCAGCAGCAGGCCCGGCCTGACCCAGGCAGGACTCAGCACACAACATATGCACATTCACTGAGAGGCTAGAGGCCAACCTCAACTAACTTCAAGTGAGATGAAGTGTGCTCTGACTGCAAAGGAAAGAAATTAAAAATCAACAACAACGACGAACTCTGATAAAACCCCCAACTCTCTGAAAACTAGAAACCAAACTAAAACACACTTTTAATGAGACAAAGAATAAACCAAAAGGGAAATTACAAAGTATCTTGAATTGACAGAAAATGCAAACATAGCTCTCAGGATGTGAAGGATGCTGCTCAACAAGCTCACCAGGAAACAGGCCATGAGCCCTGTGTGGAAGGTAGAGGAAAGACTCAGCACAGAGCTCAGGGAACCAGAGAAAGTAAGGGACCAAATGAAAGTGAGAAGAGGAAAAAGCAGCACAGACTGAAGCATGAACTGCCAAGACAGAAAGCAGACAACAGAAGGAGTAAACACAACCAAGAACTGATCTTTGTTGACAAGATAAATAAAATTAATGGACTTATTCTCTAAAGTCAGTATTACCCTGAGACCAAAACTAGACAGAGGCATAACACAAGAAAACCACAGGCCAATATTCTGAATAGATATACATGAAAATATTCTAAACAAATGTAGAATGAACCAAAACCAAAAACACATTTTACAAAATAATATGTCCAGTAAAGAAGAGTCTATTCCTGAAGGCAGGGTTAGTTTAACAGTCAAATAAACAATGTAATCACTGTACTGACAAACTAAAATAAAAAACTAACAAAAATCACCCCAAGAGATTCAGAAAAACATCATTTCTGATAAAAATTAAGCAAAGCAGAAATAGCAGGAAGCTCTCTCAAGCTGACACAGGCTTCAGTAAACCCACAGCCAGCCTCTTAGGCAAGGTTGTCTGTGCTCACAGTTCCCACTCAACATCACCCTAAAGGTTCTGAAGGGTGCAGCAAAACAGAAGTAATCATGCAGGTCAGAAAGCAGCAGCCACAGGACTTGGATGACAGGATCCAAGATCCCTAGGGTCTATGAAAAGGCCACCAGCACCGAGGACTGACCTTAGAAAGCCCACAGAACACAAGACAGACTGCAGAAATGACCTCAAGCTAAACCTCACACCTTTAAAAAATTAACTCCAAATGAAAAGAAATGTAAATTTATATCAGAAAACAAGACTTTTAGGGGAAAAAGTCAAGGGGCCCAGAACTAGCAAAGAGTCAGCCTTGACACAGAAACAAATTCCAAAAAATAAAAAAAGCAACAAATCAGACTTCACCAAAATTCAAAGCCCAGGAAAAGACTTCTACAGGGAGGAAATGCCCACTAGCTACATACCTGGCAAAGGACTAGTACCCGGAACACACAAAGAACCCTCAAAACTAAGTAGCAAATCTAATCCACAACAAAAATATCAGCAAAGGTGCAGAGAACTGGGGCCTTCACAATGATGCTGGGAACGCTAAAACCAGGAAAGACAGCTAAACGTGCACTGACCCACAAGAGCACCTCACTCCTGAGCTAGAGCCCCAGAGAAAGCGTGTCAGGAAGCGTCTGCAGCAGTTTCACCATGACAGACAAGGGAACAGCCCAGATGTCCTCCAGTGAGTAAATGGTTGAGTGAACTGTGGGAATCCACACATAGAACATGACTAAGGAACACAGAACAACAAACCACTGATACCCAACAAAGCCTGAATGCACCCCAGGGAATTATGCTGAATGAAATAAGTTGACCCCAAAAGGTTACCAAGCATATGTATACAGCATTTTGAAATGACAAAACTATAGAAATGGAGAACAGATTACTGGATGACAGCAGAAAGCAACAAAATGGGAGGTTCCAAAGGGTGAGGAGGAGGAGCCCATGGTAGGGATGCTGTGCACCTCACCATGGTCATGGCCGTGGTTATGGATATACGTGACAGACACAGAAGCAAATACACAAAGTAGGCAGGTACAGTTACCACACCTGTGATCCCAGAGATTCCAGAGGCCAAGGCAGGAGGAACACAAGTTCAAGGTCAGCCTCAGCTACTTAGTGAGACCCTATCTCAAAATCAAAAATAATTAAAAAGGCCTAGAGATATAGCTCAGTGGGACAGTGTTCCTGGATTCAATGAAAGAAAGATGGCGCGGGGCTGGGGGGAACTGGTGCAAATCACTGAGAAATCTGAATAGGTCTGGTGCATTGTACTCATGTCAAAAACCTGGTTTTGATTCTGTGTACAGTTTTGCAAGATGCTGTCATTAGTTGAAACAGATGAAGGATACGCGGGATCTCTTCACAATGTTTCTCACATGTACAATGCTTCTCACATGTAAATCTATAATTATCTCAAAATACAATTCAACAGCAAAAGATAAACTGCAAATCTGTGTATCAGTTATGAGCAACTGGTAAGTAAAATTGTAAACAGCATAAGAACACATGAAGTAATTAGAGATACAAAACCTGTATGCTGAGATACAATGTGAAGCTATCAAAAACTAATAAAAATGGGCTGTGGGGCTAGGATTATGGCTCAGTGGTAGTGCACTTGCCTAGCATGTGTGAGGTACTGGGTTCAATTCTCACCACCATATATAAACAAATAAATAAAGGTCCATCAATAACTAATAAATTTTTTTTTAAATGGGCCAGGGATATAGCTCAGTTGGTTGAGTGCTTACCTCGAATGCACAAGGACCTGGGTTCGATCCCCAGTACCACCACCACCACCACCACCACCCCAAAAAAGGAGAGGTATACCTTGTTCATGAATCAAAAGACTCCATATTGAGCCTTACATGTGTCAAATGAGAGAAGTCTGACAAGTGTAAAAGAGAATTCTCTGTGATCACACAGGTATTTGGCAAAGACTTCAAGCCAAGAGCAACAACCAACCTGGATTTAAAGTTACTATATTTCAAGCTAAAAAAGGACTAGTAACAAACCAACAAGAAGCCAAACTTTGCAAGTTAATAAATCAAGTGCCTTGGAAAAGCCTAACAATCTTTGTTTTAATACAGAAATCCAGACCCAACATATTCAATCCACAAACACTGCCAAAGTATCTACCATCCCATCAGGACTACTAGACATACAAGAAAACAAGAAATACAAGTACTCAGGGAAGACAGGTGCCAAGCTTAAACTGAAACACACAGAGAACAAGGCACACATACCCTCTACATGCACCCCTACAATGCATCTCTAGAAATGAAAGATGGCCAATATGAAAGGAGATTATCAGCGATAAAACTACCACCAGATTAGACAGAGGAAAGAGCACTCAGACACATTGTTAGAATCTATGCAAAATAAAGCACTGAAAGGTGAAAATGAGTGGGTGAAGCCTGACTGACAGGTGAAATGACATGAAGCAAACATGCATGTACTTGGAGAGGTAAAATGAAAAAGAGAAGCAAAACTATATTTGAAGGAGTAATAGCCAAAAAACAAACAAACAAAAAAAAAACAAAAAGAAAACAAAACAACAACAACAAAAAAAACACACACTTTAGTCAGGTACCAGGCATGAGGCACACCTGTAATCCCATTGGCTTAGGAGGCTGAGGGAGAAGGATCACAAGTTTAAAGCCAGCCTCAGCAAAAGCGAGGTGCTAAGCAACTCAGCAAGACCCTGTCTCTAAATAACATACAAAATAGGGCTGAGGATGTGGCTCAGTGTGAGTGCCCCTGAGTTCAATCCCCATACAAGGTGGGGGATGGGGCACTTTAGTCAAGTATTTCCAGACTTGAGGAAAACTACAAAAATCAATGATCCCAGAAAGTTAACAAACTTCTAGCAACATGCCAAAAATCAGAGAGAAAGAGAAAATCTGAAAACAGCCAGAGAAGAAAAGGCAAATTACATACTGAGAAAAAGATAAACAGACTTCTGGTTCTAAGCAAAACAGTGAATTAATCCACTGATATGGATTAACTGTGTGCTAGGTCACTGGGCCTGTGCCTTTGGAATTTACATTTTGTCCCTGGTGAGCAGAGTTTCTCTGATCCTGGGCCATCATGTCCTGAGCTGCTTTCCTCCTCTACGTCCTTCTTCCATGATAGTTTGCCTCACCCCACGCCCACAGCTATGGAGTTGGTCAACCATGGACTGAACCTCTGAAACTGTGAGCCACAATAAACTTTTCTTCCTTAATATCATTCTTGTCAGGTACTTGGCCACAGTGACTAAAAGCTGACTAATAAACCTAGAATTCCATACCCAGTACATCCTTCAACACAACACAGACAGACAAACTTTGAAAAGATGAATAACCAACACAAAAGTCACAGCAATGTCGATCTCACTTCTCCAGCTGGCTGGGCAATGGCACCACACAGAAAATCACTACCACACAGACAGGTGGGACATAAAGGCATGAGAAAAAACATGCAATTCTTAGGCAAAGAAAGCTGGAAAGACCTCAGACCTATTAAACTAGACATATTTCAGTACTATCAGGGATGAAGGAAGACATATCTTAGTAATAAAGGGGTAAATTCATCACAAAGATAGAACAATCTTAAATGTGTATGTAGCTAAGATGGACAAGGTCTCAGCTACCAAAACCAACAGAAGAAACAGAAAATCTGAATAAAACTCTAAGAAGTCAAGAAATTCTATTAGAAATAAAAACTCCCCATGAAGGAAAGATCAAGACCAGATGGCTCCACTGGTAAATTCTACCAAACATTCAAAGAATAATTATTATAATTTTTCACAAACCCCTCCAAATATTAAAAAGGGAACTCTCCACAATGTACTGTGAGGCAGTATTACTGATCTAAACACCAGAGAGACACCTCACAGGACAATATCTTTTTTGTTTTGTGCAGGAACTGAACTCAGAAGCACTTTGCCACTGAGCTATATCTCCAGTTTTTTTAATTTTTTTGAGACATGGGTCCCTAAATTGCTAAGGCTGGCCTTGAAATTGACATCTCCTGCCTCAGTCTCCCAAGTTGCTGGGATCAGAGGTGTGTGCCACTACAATTCTGCCAGACAAATATCTCTTATGATACAAACATTAAAACTTCAGCAAAAGACTAGCAAACTGGATTGGAGGAAGGGGGTTACTAAGGGGACAGTGAGATGGGATTAAAAAATGAGAACAAGCAGGATTTATCCCAGGAATGCACAGTTGGTTTAATGGCTAAAAAACAATTCATTAAGAGAACAGAATAAAAGGCAAACATCAATAAGCATGTCAACTCACAGAAAAATCATTTAACAAAAAAATCAATACTTATTCCTGATTAAAAAAAAACAAACAAACCCTAGCACACACAGCACATGTCATTTGGGGTCTGGTTTCCTTCACTTCACAAAACACAGCTAAGTTTCATCTGTGTTGTTACATGAGTCATGCTGTTTGAAAACCATTCCACCATGCATATGTGTCAGGTTGTCCAATTTGTTACTGGGTGAGGCCTGCGTATGAATAAAGATGCTACAACATTCCTATGACCATTCACTTTTCATTTTCTAGGTGCAGTGTTTCTGTTATCCACACTTCGTTTTTTTGTTTGTTTGTTTTTTCCTTCTCTACAAGATCTTTTCTGTGTGTGTGTGTGTGCGTGTGCGTGTGTGTGTGTGTGTGTGTGTGTGTGCGTGTGTCTGTCTGTCTGTCTGTCGTCCAGGAATGGGAGAGATCAGAAATTACACTGAACCCCAGACAGATAACAGGGAGAGTGCAGGCAGCAAAATTCTGTCTCCCATCCCAGGGAACACAGCCCTTACCTTCTCTCAGCAGTTCAGTTTTCATGCAGCTATCCTGCTTATTCTCACCCTTGGCCGGAACTACCTGCTAAAAAAAAAAAAAAAAAAAAAAAACAACAGCCATCAACCTGAATGCATTAAAGGCAGAAAACACAGTACACCAACATGACTTCTCCAAAATAAATCAGTTACAAAACTCACTACCAAACATCCACATGACTGGGGTTTATTCACCCACTGGATAACACAGTTGTCTCCAGGAGAAGGGATGGCATTCAGAAGACAGCCCAAGGAAACACCTGCTTACTCTGTAGTTCTTAAGGGAGCCCTTTAGGAAGATGTGCTCATATATCACTTACATAATTAGAAATCTGAAATACTTTGATTGTTATAGGACTACTACAATTTATTTCAAAATGCATTCTGTTGCCAACAATAATTAATCTAAATATTTCAAATATCCAATAATTTACAAAAAAAAAGTGTAAATCAAGAAAATAACAGGTCTGTAACCCTACCTACTAGGGAGGCTAAGGCAGGAAGACTGGAAGTTTGAGGACGACTTCAGCAACTCAGCAAGACCCTGTCTCAAAACAAAAAAACAAAAAGGTTCGGAGGTATAGCTCAGTGGCAGAGCACCCCTGGGGTTAATCCCAGGCACCACAAAAAGAAAAAGTGAGCAATAAGACACTGAAGTCAGGCTGGGGATATAGTTCAGTTGGCAGAGTGTTTGCCTTGCATGCACAAGGTCCTGAGTTCCATCTCCAGCACCACAAAAAAAAAAAAAAAAAAAAAAAAAAGACACTGAAGTCACTGAACATTGAGTGTGAGCGTCTATTACAGGGAGGCATATATGAATGACCCAAGGCTTCCTGGCATTGTTTTACTTTTCCTCAAACAGAACTCTTGCCTTCAAAAAGCTTAGTCTGGGGACTGGGTGGCTCAGTGGTAGAATGCTTGCCTAGTATGTGTGAGGCCCTGGGTTCCATCCTTAGCAGCACATATAAATAAATAAAGGTCCATTAACAACTAAAAAAATATTTCTTAAAAAAGCAGCAGTAGCTTAGTCTGCCCAGAGAAATGAAGGTAAACACACACAGTACTCCTAAGGAGGTCTTTCAGGATAAAGCAGCAGCAGCAGGAGCCAGCAAATGCCTTGTTCACACTGGGGGTGGGAACATAGGATAAAGACTATCCTATCTTCCCACTTTGAGCTCCAAAAACTTTTGGGCTCCCAGAACCTAAGGGCATAACTCCCAAAAAAACTTCTTATAACTTCCAGAATATTTTTTCTAAAGACACCAGAAAAATTTCTCAGATATTCCTACTGAACTTTGAATTCACTGCTATTTCCACTTCATGCCACTTATGCCTCCAAAGAACTTAGTCTTGCCCACCCTGTCACCCAAAGTTCCTAACCCCCACAACATCCCTTCTTCCTCAGTCCTGCTAAATATCTAGCATTCCCAGTGTTTCCCAAATGCTCCCACCAGCAGCCTTCTTGAGAGGAGCTGGTGACTCACTGGCACCCCAGGAGGAGGCCAAGAAAAGGTATAAGCAGGTCTCAACTTCCTGTCAATTCCAGGTTATTCTCTCCCACCTTCCCCAGAGCTCCTTGTGTGGCCCAACTAGTAGTTTTCAAAGTGTAGGCTGAGGACCCCAGGGGTCCCTGAAGGGAAAATGGTTTCTAGGCACATGCATTCTTTCTCAATCCTATTGGTAATGGCTGATTCTGCCCTCCCACCTGTAGCTGATGGCACCTCATGGATGTCTGCACTTCTCTCTTACCTATCACTAAGCACCAATACCAGATCAGGCAAGTGCTTTTGGGTGCTCCACAAGCCCCACTTCCACTTGCACATCTGCTTTTCACATCGCACAGATGCTGTTAGAAAACAAGACAGAACTGTTAATGGGCCCCAAATAAGGGTTTTTATTTTGTTTCCTATCTGGGTTCCTCTACCTTCAAATTAGGTAAGGGGCTCAGTCCCATTCCCAGCCCTATGGAAGTCATTACCCATAGCCTGAAGGCAGGGTGCATGAAGTGAGGGCAGTCCTAAAAGAAGGTTACAGGAAAGTTCAGACTCAAGGGCTAACCAATAGCACTGGTACCTTTCCAATACTTGTTAAGCCCAGATTTATTTTATTTTATTTACAATTAAAATCAAAATTTTATTCTGATTTCACTAGTTTTTCTTCAATGCCATTTTGTTGTTGTTGTTCTAGGATCCAATGTCTAAAAGACAATGTTGCATTTGACACAATGCTGTATGAGTTTTGTCTGACTTATAATAGTTTCTCGGGTGTTCCTTATGTTTGAGTGTTGTGATGGTATGCCATTATGCAGATTATTCATCAATTTGAAAGCACAAATTCTGACCAATAGTGTTCATACTTTTCCAAGACCTGATCAGCACAAATACTAATCAATGCCCCTACCCAGTAGCTATATAAACTCCTAGACTTACACCTAAGTGGCAATCTGCTATCAGGTCCCCTCTTGCCTCTTTTTTTTCTTGCTTAAATAAAGCCTACTCCTTTCACTCCCGCCTTCCATTGTCATCTGTGGATTTCATTCTTTATATTTGTGAGATAAGAACCTGGAAACAACTGGGGTCTGCTGTGATACTAGAAGGCACAGCCTGCCATTAAGAGCTTCAGCAACGGGCTGGGGATGTGGCTCAAGCGGTAGCGCACTTGCCTGGCATGCGTGCTGCCCAGGTTCAATCCTCAGCACCACATACAAAGATGTTGTGTCCGCCGATAACTAAAAAAAAATAAATATTAAAAATTCTCTCTCTCTCTCCCTCCCTCCCTCTCTCCTCTATCTTTAAAAAAAAAAAAGAGCTTCAGCAACATCACTGGACCAGTGATGTGGAGAAGAATCCAGCTTTTCCAGCTACAACCCTCAGAGGTGATGTGTGCAGGCATCCCAGCTGGGATTATCTTCTAACACTTAAATGGGCTTTCTCAGGGCTACAGATACCCCAACCACCAACAGAAACAGAGAATCAAATTTTGTCTCAAACTCCAGTTTCACTAGCAACCCATGCGATGGAGCTCTGACCACTGCAGGGATGCCAAACCCTTGGCAGCAAGAGGCAGACCAACTGCTAAGTCTCAGTACCCATATTTATTTTCTCTAAGACCTAAGCTCCTGGAGAAATAAGCAATTCCAGTCTAAGGCAAGAAAAAGTGTAGGTCCATTCCAAAGCACCAAGTAGTGCCCAAGAAAGAATGTGAGCAAAAGATGACAAGAGTGTCCCAAGAAACAGCAATGCCTGAAGGGGTTCCTAATGGCTAAGTATGGACACTTTGAACCTCAAAATAGATGATCACAATAATGGATTTCAACCACTTAACATGATAATGATGGCCTGAGTAGACATAAACATTATATAAGTGGATATAGTAAGTAAATGAAAGCAAAGCTCTTCTTCCTAATAGAATGCCAAATGTGGTTGCAACCAGAAGTTGGAACTGAAAAATCACTATTTTACTACTCCCATCAGATAGGTTAGGTTCAATGCATAGATGGATTCTAAAACTATGAGGAGCAAGCTTAATAAGAAACAGGGGGGGGGGGCTGGGATTGTAGCTCAGCGGTAGAGTGCTTGCCTCGCACGCAGGCACATGTGAGGCACTGAGTTTGAGCCTCAGTACCAATAAACAAAGTAAAGGTTAAAAATATAAAGAAAAGAAACAGGGTATTTACAAGCTCTCAATGTATTTTTAATTATAAAGGTAAAAAGAGTAACTACAGAGAAGAAGCCCAGTGGGCAACACTTTAACCACAAGTCAACATGAACTATCATGGGACAAAGAGCATCCATTTGATAGACTGACTGCACAACATCACTTCTACAGCTTCCTGAACAGTGCACAATCTCAGGTCAATCACAAGGAGACACTAGCAAATTCCAACTGAGGACCTTTTAAAAAACAGCAGGCCTGTATTTTCCAAAAATGCCCCTTTTTGAAAGTCAAAGACTAAAAAACTTGACTGGGGCTGTAGCTTAGTTGTGGAGCACTTGCCTGGCACATGCAAAGCCCTGGGTTCAATCTTTGCACCACATAAAAATAAATAAATAAAATAAAGGTATTGTGCCCATCAACAACTAAAAAAGAAAAAATAATAATGAAGAGACACGACAATTTGTGCAGTACACCATATGCAACTGTCACAAAGGAAATTACTGTAAGTATCGTACACAGAGTAGAGAACCGGATCAAGGCTAAATGTCCTCCAGATTTGTCATCGCATCATGGTTATAAAAGAGAAATGCTCTTGTGCGCAATTAAGGACAAAGTGGTATGAAGTCTGAGTTTGCTTTCAAATGGCTTCAGAGGAAAGAAGTATGTTGTACTATGTGCATATATACCTGTGTGTGTGTGTGTGTGTGTGTGTGTGTGTGTGTTTGACTGTCTGCACGTGTGCACTTTTGTGGGCTCAGCTGGAAGATCTCAAGCAATGCACATGAGTGAAGGGTCCACAAAGTCACTGTACAAATCTCTCAACTTTTCTGCCTATCTGAAGTTATTTTTCATAAAAGGTTCCTTAGAAAGACAAGGCTAGGGAAGTCTGAGGACTGGAAACATGGTAGTACAAAAGTGAGATCTAGACAGGGAGAAAGCACAAATCAAGCCCAGACCTCAGGAGACAGGGGCACTGGTCGGGAAATGGGGCAGGACCAGACTGACAGTCTCAAGCAAGAGGATCCTAGGAGATGTAGTCAAGGCCACATAGATCAAATGGTACAGCTCTCGAGTTGGGGCCTGGACCATATGCAAGTGTCTTTGACCACTGTGGGGTCTCCTATCATCACCTGGCTCCTGCACTTTGGTTTCCAGTTAAGAAATAAGGACTGGAGCCCTTGTTCCAAAAGCCACTGTGTTCCCATGCTGGTGCATGCAGTAAGTGCTGCTGATGTGTAAAAGGTCTCTGTAACCTGCCAACACACAGTACTACCTGGAGATCTGCCTGGCGCCCAGCACTATAGCCAACAAGCTATCAGCACTAGTTGCGTAAACACAGTTCCCAGAGAGCATAGTGAAATGAAAACACAGAGGCCACATACTGATGTGCAG